TATAGTGAGACCGAGTCTCAAAAAAAAAGGAACAGGGGAGGAGAGGAGGGTTGGGGAGAGATGGCTTAGTGGCTAAAAGCTCTTGCTATGCAATCATAAGACCTGAATTTTTTTTTTTTTTTTTGGTTTGGTTTTTCGAGACAGGGTTTCTCTGTGTAGCCCTGGCTGTCCTGTCCTAGAACTCACTCTATAGACCAGGCAAGCCAATAAACTGTGTTCTGTCATGGTGTCTGCTTCAGTTCCTGCCTCCAGGTTCCTGCCTTGAGCTCCTGCACTGGCTCCCCCCACCCCCCTTCTTCTTCTTCTTTTTTTTTTTTGGTTTTCGAGACAGGGTTTCTCTGTGTAGCCCTGGCTGTCCTGGAACTCACTCTGTAGACCAGGCTGGCCTCGAACTCAGAAATCTGCCTGCCTCTGTCTGCCTCCCAAGTGCTGGGATTAAAGGTGTGCGCCACCACTGCCCAGTTGAATTTTGGTTTTTATTGCTCTTTTTTTCCCTTTTTTATAATTAAACATTTTAAATATTATATACATTGGTATTTTACCTCTATGCGTACTGTGTTAGAGTGTTGGATCCCCTAAACTGGAGCTGCTATATGGATGCTGGGAATTGAACCTGGGTCCTCTGGAAGACCATCTGAGCCATTTTTCAGCACCCGTCTTTTTAGGTTTTTTGAGGCTGGGTTTCTCTATGCAATTCTGAGTGTTCTGGAACTTGCTCTGTATGTAGACCAGGCTGGCCTCAAACTCAGAGACCTGTCTGCCTGCCTCTGCTTCCCTAGCTGAGTTTAAAGGCATCTGTCACCACTGCCTGGGTAGGACCAGAGTTTTAATTCCACCACCACGTGACAAGCTGGACTTGTTGCAAATGTCTAGGACTCCAGATTCAAGAGGTCTGATTATACTGTATAATGGCTTCTGTGCTCTTGAATGTGTGCAGCTGTACATACAAACATGTCCATTCATGCAGATACACACATACAAATAAATGATGAAAAAAGTACAAGAGTAGAGAGGTGGCTCAGCACTGCCTGTAATTCCAGGAATGGGAAGGTGAGGCAAGAGGAGGCCAGTTTGTGTTACAGAACCAAATCCTACCTCAGAATGAACTAAGGAACAAGATACTGCTGAGAATGTAGCATGAAGGTAGAAAGACACAACATTTAAAAGATTGAGATAAAAGTCATCATGAAAGCTGGGCATGGTGGTGCAAGCCTTTAATCCCAGCACTTGGGAGGCAGAGGCAGGCGGATCTTTGTGAGTTAGAGATTAGCCAGGTCTACAGAGTTCCAGGACAGCCAGAGAGACCATGCCTTAGAAAACAAACAAAGTTATTGTGAAGAATTGTAGCATAATATCTAATTGGATTCCTGAAAAGAAATAATTATGAAAGGAAGAATGAAAGAAAGTTCTAATTATACAGATAAAGAGTTTTTCCAGAATTGAGAACTGAAAATATCAAGTGTTACAAATCATTTCCCTTTAATCCCAACACTTGGGAGGCAGAGGCAGGTAGGAAGATCTCTATGAGTTTGAGGCCAGCCTGGTCTTCCAAGTGAGTTCTGGGACAACCAGGTCTATTACACCGAGAAACTCTGTCTTTAAAAACAAAAAGAACAAACCAAAAACAAATCCAGTGCATCTCAAGGAATAAGTAAGATTAACTATGACAAGTCACAGTGGAACTGCAGACTAGTGACAGAAACCTTAAAAGCAATCAGAACCAACAGACTGATATAAAAATCATTTTCTTTAAGCTGAGAACTGATTTCCCAGCTGTAGCAACAGAAGCCAGAGGACATTGAAATTCTGTCTTATGTACTAAGACAAAACAGCTGTCAGCCTTGAAATGGCATACTCAGTAAAATGCTTTCACAACAGACATATTGAGACAAAAAAATCTTAGAAGAACATTTGCTACCAACAGAACAAGATTCCAAGGTATATAATTCAGATAAAGAAAACTCATCTAAAATAGAAATCTCAGAGTGCTTTGCAGTAGCCCTATAATATTTAAATCAAATATATAGTGTGATTCACATTCTACTAATACAGGATGCTTTGTGTTTTAAATTTTGCTTCATTAACTGAATCTACTCTAGACATATATCTGGGCATGTTTGTGCATGTAATATTGATTTGATTCTAGAAGTCTGTACTACTGAGTCAAAAGGAATTTCTTTTTTTAAATTTTTTTTTTTACTAATTCTTTGTGAATTTCATATCATGTACTCCAATCCCATTCATCTCTCTATCCCTTTGTATCCACCCTCCACCCTTGCAGCCTCCCCCTAAAAGATAAATAAACAAATAAATAGTAAGGGAAAAAAAATCTCATCCTGGAAGCTGTAGCATGTCACAGTGTATCACATAGCATACTTGCAAATGTTCATTGCAATGAGTCATTTTCCAGGTCTGTTTCAAGGCCTCTGGCTTCTGCTACACTCTCAGTACTGGATCCTCATGGGGACTTCTCTTGGATATCCTATTGTTGCCCTATATCCTGGAGATCCTGCAGTTTTGGATCTGCAGCCCAGCTCTTTGATGTACTCCAGCAGATCATACATGAGGTAGATGTTGGGTGGGCCTACTCTAAGCCCTGGATCTGGGCTTGGGAGGTAGGTTAGGTGGTCAGCCTACCAGCTTTCCAATGTCCTCAGGTTTCTATTGCTACCCTACGGCAAGGTCTCCAGCACTGCCCTGGGCAGCTCACCCAGTGCAGCAGCTGACAAACGACAGGGTCATCTCTTTTGCTCTTACTCTTGGGGCAGCCTACCTGCTTCCCTCCATGCATGGCCAGCTCAGCACAGTACCTCAGGCAGCAGTCTAAACCAGGGACATTTGCTTGGCCTTTGGTAGTAGTAACAGAGCCTAGGAAATAAACTCAGACCCCTGCTGCCACAGGATCACACATTACCCCAGACATGGCCCAGGCAGCAGCATGGCCCTGATGTCCGTAACCTCACCATGACCTCTTCATATCTACCTGTTCCTCACTGCCACTGAGCCTCCAGTTCCACCTTCCTCCATAGTGTATGAACCCTCTGCTTTGTTTTCTCTTCCATCTCTCCCATCTCTCCATCACAAATTTACCTATTATAGTGGTGCCTGCCCATGGCAGGTGCTTGTGTGCTTGTGTGCCTTTCTTCCCACCTCAGGAATTTCTTGGTATTGTAAAATTGCTTTTTTTTTTTTTTTTTTGGTTTTTCGAGACAGGATTTCTCTGTATTCCCCTGGCTGTCCTGGAACTCATTCTGTAGACCAGGCTGGCCTCGAACTCAGAAATCCACCTGCCTCTGCCTCCCAAGTGCTAGGATTAAAGGCGTGCGCCACCACCGCCCAGAGTAAAATTGCTTTTTTAAAGAGGACTACCAATTTACATTTCATTCAACAGATTGTGCTGGCTTTATTTACAAATGATTGTTTGGACCAGTTTTAAATAACAAAGATTGCCATTTCTTACCAAATACTTTTATTTTAAACAAAACTGTCTTGGTTTACTTCTCTTGGTTTGATATTAAAAATGTGCTCTGAGTTTGAGCCCTATCCTAGCTACTCCTTAAAAGCTTTTTGAATAGATAAAAATTGTTAATTGAAATGCATTCTTTCTAACGGAAGGTATTTCTAACTTTCTAGAATGTAAAGTTTAATTTTTCCTTATCTTTTTTCAGTTTATTATTACTGACATATAGTTCATCTCTTTTTTTCCTGTTTTTGGTTGTTTTGTTTTCTTTTGAAGGTAGAGTTTCTTTGTATAGTAGCCCTGGTTTTCCTGGAACTTGCTCTGTAGACCAGGTTGGCCTTGAACTCAGATATTTGCCTACGTCTGACTCCCAAGTGCTGGCATGCGGTGCCAGCCACCACCAATGCCCAGCTCACATCATATCTCCCTCTCTCCCCCCTTCCCTCCAGGGTTTTACAGTATAGTCTCAGGCTGACCTTGAACTCATAGAGACCTACTTGCCTCTGAGTCCCAAGTGCTTTTATGAATCACCACACCTAGTTAATGTAGCCATTAAAAAAACTGCAAATAGAGCTGCGGAGATGCAAACATGATGACTTGAGTTCAAATCCTCCTACATCGAGAGGCTAGAGAATCCCCTGAAAGTTTGGTAGGTAGCTAGCCCAGCATACATAGTGGCAGCTAAGAGACTGTCTCTGACAAGATAGAAGGAAGAACAGTACCAGTTGTAGTCCTTTGACTTTGGTGCATGTATCATTGTGTATGTGTGTGTGGGGGGGTGGTATTCTGTCTTATGTACTAAGACAAAACAGCTGTCAGCCTTGAAATGGCATACTCAGTAAAATGCTTTCACAACAGACATATTGAGACAAAAATCTTAGTTTTCTTCATCTGAATTATATACTCTTGGGCAAAAGCTCATCAGTTTTAGAAAGTATTAGCACTAAACCTTGTTGAGAGTACTATAGGCACATGCCACTACTACACTCAGATGATGATTGGTTTTCTGTTTTTGAAATACCATTACTATATAGCCTAGGTAGCCATGAATTCATAATCTTCCATGTATATGTATATATGTATGGATGTGCACACACACATCCATACACATATGAAAAGAAACGCCAAATAGCCAGGAGTGGTGACAGTGGCCCATTCTTGTAGGCATAGTATTTGAGGTGGAGGCAGAAGGATTTCTGAGTTGAAGCCTAGACTGAGGTACAGTATGAGACTTGTCTCAGAAACAAACAAACAGAAAAATCTGTGTATTTGCTAAAAAGAAAGGAAAATATGCCAAATATTTTATTTTCTTGTGATTGTGGAAGGATGTACTTTTTCCATACTATTGGGTTATTTTCTTTCTAGTTCTATATATCTTTACCAGGCAGCCAGCAGGACAGAAGGAAACAAATGTGTTTACTATGAGTCATTTTAGGGGAAGGGGAGGACTGTTAATTTGTTTGGGAATTCTATGTTTTAATGTGAGCTTGAATCTGACATGTCTTTTTAAACTTTCTTTTCTACTCCTTTGCTGTTCCAGGTGCAAGTGAAAGTGTAGGAAAACATATGCTTGAAGCTTGTAACAACAACCTGGAGATGGCCGTCACTATGTTTTTGGATGGAGGAGGAATTGCTGAAGAGCCCAGTACCAGTTCAGCAAGTGTCTCGACTGTCAGACCACACACAGAGTATGAATTTATTATTTATTGTAGCAGTTACTCTTTTGCCTAAATTAACTAGCTGCATTTTTATCAGGGTTAGGTCAGTTTTCAAGTTAAGTTTGAAAGCCTCTGAAAATATCACGTGGAAAATTTTGTATTTGATATACCTTAAATTCTATAGTGCACTGTTCTTGTTTTCTTGATCATTTCTGTTCAGTCCTCAAAAGAACTGTGTGGGTTAGAGGCAGGCGGCAGGCAGGCAGGCAGCAGGCAGGCAGGCAGCAGGCAGGCAGCAGAGTGCATGGCACAACTGCTTGGTTATAATTGACCTGAGTTTGGGGTTTATGTGTTCCACAACTACCAGCTATACAACAAAAATAAATAATTTTTTTGGCTTGGGATTTAGCTCATTTGTAGTGTTTGCTTGGCATTCAAGAAGTTCTGTGCTAAATCTCCAACATTGAATAAACTAGACTAGGTAACACATGCTTGTGTCCATAGCTTAGGAGGTGAATATGTGAGGATCTGAATATTTTTTAAAAAGACTTTATAGATTGGTATTGTTATTTTGCATATGAAGAAACTAGAGCATGACCATGTTTTCCAGTTATATAGCAGTTAAAAAGCAAATACAGTCTAATGAAGCTCATATTTCCAAATATACATTTTCCTATACTTTCTCAGGAAAGTGAATTATCTTGAAATATTTTCAAGAACTAAGGCTGAAGCTATAGCTTAGTGGTAGAATGTGTGAGTAACATGAATGGTTCCTGAATTTAAGATGTGGCACTTAAATGTAACTGTATAAACAATTTTTTTAAATAGTTACCTGCCTTATCCTAAAGGTATCCCTAGTGTATATAGAACTGTTTATATTTTATTTTTGAGCCATTTACATCTGATTAGAGTTTACAATAAATATCTAACTCTTGGGCAAAAGCTCATCAGTTTTAGAAAGTATTAGTGCTAAACCTTGTTGAGAGTACTATAGGCACATGCCACCACTACACTCAGATGGTGATTGGTTTTCTGTTTTTGAAATACCATTATTATATAGCCTAGGCAGCCATGAATTCATAATTCTTCCTGTGAATTAGGATTCCAGGTGTGTCCATAATTTCTGGCTAAGCCATTGGTTTTAACAATAGCAACAACAACAAATAAATAAAAAACCTTTCAAAGAGGCCAGGGCTTTGTGTCTCATGCCGTTAAGGAGGCAAAGGCAGAAAGATCTGTATGAGTTTCAGGCCAGCCTGATCTAGTGAGACCCAATGTAAAAACCAAACCAAACCAAAAACCCCTTAATTTTAAAAGTCCTTAAGTAAGACTCTAGTATACTTAGTCATTTGTAATTCTCATAATTTATAATGTGAAATACTAAATGAGGAATCATTTTAAATGGAACAGGCAAAGGGCCAGGGGTTTACTTTATTTTATTAAATCATTTATTTATCTTAATATGCATTGGTGGTTTTCCAGCATGTATGTCTATATGAGGGTGTACGATCCTGGTACAGCTGTGAGCTGCCATGTGGGTGCTAGGAATTGAACCCAGTTACTCTGGAAGAGAAGCCAGTGCTCTTAACTGCTGAACCATTTCTCAGCCTCTAGAGTTTTATGTTTATTAAATTAGATGTACTTTAAGAATCAGGTCACATACAAGTATAATTGTTGAATTAGTTTCAGATTAGTAGAATATTCTTTAAGAGTTATGAACTTTGGAGATCATATTAATACCTCACAAAGCTTTTGGTTGTTTTTTGTTTCTATTAACCATTTATCTCAAGTGTAATCCCATTCCCCATCATGGCTCAGAGTTTTAGTGGAAATCTGTATTGAGGCAGATGAGATGTTAGACACCTCATTATAGTACTCTGGAGGCAGACAAGGGGATCTCTGAATTCCTGGGTCATTCTTTTTTGTTTGGTTGGTTTTTGGTTTTATTTTCTTTTAAAGATAGGGTTTCTCAGTATATCCTTGGCTGTCCTGGAACTTGCTCTGTAGACCAGGCTGGCTTTGAATTCATAGTGATCTGCCTGCCTCTGCCTCCCAGGTACTGGGATTAAAGGCTTTGTACTACCACCGCCCAGCTTTCCTGGATCATTCTTGTCTACCTAGCATATTTCAGATTAGCCTGGCCCAATAAATCAGTAATGCTGAAGAATTATGTAGTTGGTAGAAACTTCAATAGTAGAAGTTAGATCGTTTGTATACTAATTGATAGACATTTAATAGAAGCTCTTAACTCCTTAACTAGAATTTTCCTTCCAGTTTACCTTCTTCTATTGTGTTTTCACTCATTGTAGGTATGTTTTTGTTCGTTCGTTTTTATTGTGTGTTTTTTTTTTTTTTTTAATGATTGTGTGGGTGTGTGCTTGTCCTTATATGCGTGAATATGAGTACCCATGGAAGCCAGGAGAGATTGTCAGATCTTTTGGAGAGTTCCAGGTGTTTGTGAGCCACCTGATATTTATGTTTATAATTCTTTTTTATTTCACTATTATTTGTTTGGGCATATGAATGCCATATCAGTATGGATGTTTTCCCTTTGCATGTATGTCTGTGCACCGTGTGTATACCTGGTGCCATGGAGGCCAGAATAGGCTGTTGGAGCCCCTGGGAATGGAGGTGCAGATGGTTAGGAGCTACCATATCCGTGCTGGAAATCAAACCTGGAGTCTTGGAAGAATAGTCAATGCGCCTAACCACTGAGTCATCGGCTCTAATACAAACAACTTTTATCAAGTTTATCAGAACACTTTAGGTTTCACCTTCCTAGGTAAAAAAAATAAAAGAACAAAAGAAAAAGTTTATAAATTTTTTTTACTGAGTTATTGGTGAGTTAAATTGTTTCTATGTTGAAAACTTTGAAAGAATTTTTTTTTTTTTTTTTTTTTTTTGAGACAGGGTCTCTCTGTGTAGTCCTGGCTGTCCTGGAACTCACTTTGTAGACCAGGCTGGCCTCGAACTCAGAAATCCGCCTGCCTCTGCCTCCCAAGTGCTGGGATTAAAGGCGTGCACCACCACAGCCCGGCGAAAGAAAAATTTTAAAAATGCATTTCAAGTGCTGGGGATCACACACAGGACCCTGCAGTTATTAGGCATATATTCTACTGCTGAACTCTGTTCCTTACTGAGAATAGAGTTTAATTTATTTGTTCAAAATTGTTTTGTTTTTATATTTATCACTGTGTATGTACAGATGTGTTCATGTCTTGGCACATGTGTGGAGGTTAGAGGACAGATTTTGGAAGTCAGTTTTCTCCTTCACTGTGTGTATACTGGGAATCAAATTGAGGTCATCAGACTTGGTAGCAGTCGTCTTTACCTGCTGAGACATCTTCTTAGGCCCAGAATTTCATTGGCTCAATATTCAGAGTACTGGTTACTTTTCTAGAGGACTAAATTTTTACCAGCCCCAGGGTGTCCTAGGGTACTGCATGCACATGATTTGAAGAAACACTGATGTAAGCATTTACACACATAGAAAATAACATGTCAACCAAATAGTTTATATTTTAGTATATATTATATATTTATTTCTATATTTTATATAGAAATTTTCTTTTCTGTATACTAGGAACTATTGAGTAAATACTTTCAAGATTGCACCTATGGTAGCTTCTTCCTTCATAGAATAAAATTTATTAGCTATTTCTTGAAACTCCTTTACTATATTTTTGTGTTTTAATGTGTGATATAGCAATAATCACATATTGATGTTTTGTTTAATGTTTTCTTTTTTGAGACAGGGTTTCTCTGTGTAGCCCTGGTTGTCCTGGAACTTGTTCTGTAGACCAAGCTGACCTTAAACTCAGAGACCTGTCTCTATTTTCTGAGTGCTGGGATTAAAAGTGTGACCATGCCAATCTTATTCCTTTAAGAATTCAGGGAGGCTGGGCATTGGAGAGATGCCTCCACAGTTAAGAGCCTGTAACTCCAGCTCTGGAGGTGTCTGTGTCACTTATGGTCTCTCAGGACCCTGCTGCACTCATATGCATGTACTCCCACATACATAATTAAACTAAAAATAAAATTTAGGGAGGGTTGGGGATTTATCTCAGTGGTAGACAAATTGCCATACAAATGAAGGGCCTGGGGTTCAGCTCTTAGTTGGGGGCCAGGGAAGGAGGAGCAAAAATTGCATTTAAAAAAGGCCAAGATAATTACTGCAGCTTGGATGTAGTATGGAGCAAACTTTAATCCCAGCACATGAAGGCAGAAGCAGGTGGATCTCTGTGAGTCCGAGTCAGACAGGGCTACATAGTGGGACTTCGTCAGAGAGAGGGCGGGAAGCAGAGGGAGGGAAGGAGGGAGGGAGGAGAGAAAAGAGAGGGAGGGAGAGACAGACAGGTTAGTTTGAGACTGGGCAGATGAGATGGTTCAGTGGTTCTGAGCACATACTGCTCTTAAAAGGGGCTTAAGTTCCGTTTCCAGCAACTATGCTGGGCAGTTCACAACAACCTATAATCCCAACTTCAGGGGAATCTGGGGTTTCAATTTTGCATATATGTGTCTTATACTCCATAACTTAAAAAAATTATTTTAAAAAATTAAAGATGTAAGGGACTTGAGATAAAAAGAGATCATTTTTTTACTTCTGTTTATTCTTTGTTTGTAAACCATTTTAGCTTTCTATGCTAGATATTTTGTTCCAGTTAATCTTTTATCTTGATTACTGTAGTTCCTAAAAGCTATGTGTTTCACTTCATAATTTGAATACATTACTAATTAAGAAGGACAATAGGTGTCATAAACAGTTTTTCATTTTGATATCTTCTCACTTTCTTTTAATAGAGAAGAAGTTCGTGCTCCAATTCCTCAAAAGCAAGAAATATTGGTGGAGCCAGAGCCTTTGTTTGGTGGTAAGTTCTCTTTGCTTGTTTACCCTTACCTGACTTTGTTGTTATCTAGGATTTTAGTAAAGATAACTGAAGATATGAGGGCTTGCTCAGATATTGTTTCTTCATTTATAGAATCAGTTTTTATCTTACATTTCTTATTCCCTCTTGGGAAGCTGTATTCCTTAATGGAGAATAATATTGTATATTAACAATTGATAGTATGTTGCAGAAGGCCAAAAAGTAAAAAACTTACCAAAATGATTTGCTGTCTTTTTTTTTTTTTTTCTTTTAAGGAAGGGTGTCACTGTGTAGTCCTAGCTTGCCTGAAACTCAGAGGCTTCCTGCTCTACATTCTAAATTCTAGGGTTGAAGACATGCACTACTGTACCTAGCTCCCCATCTCCCCCACTCCCTTTGGGATTGCTACCTCTTATGGAAATCAGTTTTTTTATACTAAAATGGACTCTTAATTTTATGTTATATTTTTCTCAATATACCCTTGACTGATAACTCTATTGTTTCATATACTTTACCTTCTCTTGTTTTAATTTCTCCAAGTTCTGTTCCTATTTTGGACAGAGGGAAAGAAATAGTCCTTATTGCGTGTAAAAACACTTGTTAGTCTTGGCATATTCAGAGTATGCTGAAGTATGGGGTATTTAAGCAACTTTAAAGAACAGTGATAGTTTAATAAGTACCCGGTTACCTGTATGAGGCAAACATTTTTATTGTTTAAAATATAGAGGATTGAATCTTACTGTGGTAGGACAAACAAATGGTGAAATGTATATTACATAGAGAACACTCGTACAGGAAAATGGTTTGAAACACAAAAATAAGAGACCCATTTTAAGTTTTGTAGAAAAGCTAACATAGGGGAAAAATTAAATTTTTATTTATTTACCTGTTTGAGATTAGGATCTCACTGGGTTCTGTGTCTTTGGCTAGTCTGGAGCTTGTTATGTAGACCAGGCTGCTCTTAAACTTGGAGATCTGCCTGCCTCTCTGTCTCCATAGTTTTGGGATTAAAGGTGTGTACCAGACAAGAAGGGGAAATAATTATTTTAAAAGATGAAAAAATCATCTAGTAGATGTCACTTAAGTAGACCACTTGCCTAGCATGTGTGAGACAATAGATTTAATCCCTAGCATTTCAGAAATTCCATCTATATTGAACAAAAATGGACATTTTTCTTAACAATATTCCAAAACAACAGAACAATCATTTAGAAAGCATTTACATTGAATTAGGTATTGTAAATAATCTAGAGATAGTGTAAATCATGAAGTTCACTGAAGGATGTACCCATGTGCCAGAGGTTGAGCTCCATCCTTAGTTGCTCGTCTACCTTATTCATTGAGGCAGGGTTTCTGAGTCAAACCCAGAACTCTCTGATATAGTTGGTTTCCCTAGCCAGCTTGCTCTGGGGATCTTTCTGTTATTGCAGTGTTGTGTGATAAAACTTTTTCTCGGGAGGCACAACATACGTCTACTCACCTCAGATAGAGGACCTACTATAGGTACAGATACCATCGAAGTTCAGCTTGATAAACTAATGAGTTTTACTGGGTTTACTTACAGAAATATGGGTGAGGGGTTGCCTAAAGGAGCAGAATATCTCAAAGGCAGCTGCATCACCGAAGCCCATCTAGAATGGGTGACAGCTCACAAAGCTAGGAACTTGGAACACATTGCACAGCCTACAGGCTGCTCAGTAGGTTGGACATTGTCCTTTTTGGTTTTGTTTGTTTGTTTGTTTTCGAGACAGGGTTTCTCTGTGTAGCCCTGGGTGTCCTGGAACTCACTCTGTAAACCAGGCTGGCCTCGAACTCAGAAATCTGCCTGCCTCTGCCTCCCAAGTGCTGGGATCAAAGGCGTGCACCACCACCGCCTGGCATGACATTGTCCTTTTCTAGCGCCGCAGTTGTTTTAAACCTCTTCCAGGCAGTCCAACTGGGTTTTATTTCTTCCAGGCAGCTGGTCTGATCTGAGAGTCTTCTTTGTATCCTAGCTTTTATTGCTAACTTTGCCAGGAAAGGGCCTAATGAATCTGGTCAGTTTCAGGAATTTCCTGAAGCTGTTTTGAGTTACCTTTCTGCTTAAGGCTTTTGCTGCAGACTGGGATTACAGCTGGGTTGCCATGCCAATTGGTATTTTACCATGGTTCTGGGGATTCAGATTTAACTCCTCAGGTTTGCACAGCAAGTACTTTCACTGCTATGCTCCATTCTGACCTTGATATTCACCTACAAGTTATAGATAACAAGAGATGGAGAACTATCAGACAGCTTCATGTTACAGCTATAAGAGTCAAGTTAGTCATCTTATAAAGGGGACACTATTTTAGTTAATTCTTGGAGGTTTTAGTTGGGCCCTTTGGTTGTGGCAAGGCGATATACATCATAGTGAAACAGCATATGGTGTAAGAAATTGCTTAAATTCTTGTCAGCCAAGAAACAGAAAAGGAAATAAGAGAGACTAAAGTCTCACTCTCCCTTCGAGGGTGTAAACCCAAGTGACCAAACAGCTTCTTTGTTAGGTCCCAGTTCCCTAAGGCTCCCAATAGTACTATGCTGGGAACCAAACCATTAACACAAGGGCCTTTGGGGTGACACCCAAAATCATAGGAAGAAGCATTTTCTTCTAAGCTGTTGGATAGTGATGCTGTATCCTCAATATAAAACAAGCAAAAGAGCCCTGTCTTGAAAAAACAAAAAACAAACAAACAAAAAAAACCAAACAAACAAAACCAAACAGGCAGCTTTTGTGGAAATTTACCAGCCTGAGTAGTCATAGACCTTGTAAATAGGTAGCCTTGGCCGATAATACCAACTTAGATAAGGACAAGTGAATCATAGGCAGAGTCATAGCGGCCAGTTCTCTGAACCTTCACCCAGCCGATACCCTATTCTAAAAAATATTTGTATTCCCCCTGAACACCTACGCTCCAGTGTCATCCCCTTCCCCACGTCCTGCCTTTTTGTGTCTACAACCCCTGTGTGAATAAGTAAAAATTACGGTTTGAAAAAAATAAATAAATTATTTTAAAAAAAAGAAACTATATTTCTATGTGGGGCTGGAATTTAATATTCTTCCTATACTTTAATTTAAATAAAGCAATAGATTTAAAATTAGGTAGATAATATAACAATCCCAGGTGTTTTTCTCTTAAGCTAGGTACTAACAGAAATTTACAAAAATATGAAACCATATTGGTCCTCTCATTAGATTGATTTCTCTGCTAGTCCTTGTATTCTACTATGATATCTAGTACTTTCCTCATGATTTGGATTTCTTTTAGCTTTTTATATAGCTTAGTCTTCTTTGGCCTTAATGAATATCATGCCTATTGAGTGGGCAGAAGGAAGATTCCAGAGGAATGGTGTTTGCTTATGGTAAATGGTTTGCCAAGGGTACTTGGAGTAAAAGACATGGGTTGAAAGTATTGTAACTTGAAGAGAGGCTCTACTTACAGGGATGATGGGAGCAAATAGCAGATGATGAGCCCAAGAAATGAGAGGCGCTGGCTAGAAGGCTGACAATATAAAGTGACAGTAAGAGCACCAAAGGGATTGGGTGTCTCCCAAAGGGACAAATGAGAGGTGATGGAAGTGCAGGGGACTATTAGCTGGCTTGCTTTGGACATTTTAGAAGTAGAATATTTTCCTATTACATTGCTATTCTATCTCTAGTCATGTAACAAACTTGCTTTAACAGTTGGTAGAATTAAAATCTGTCAGAGTCTGTGAGTGGCTCAACATATAAAAGTTGCTGCCTGATGACCTGAATTTGACCCTTGGAGCCCATGATTGAAAGAGAGGATCAGCTACTGATAGTTGTCCTCTGACCCACACACATGGACTTTGGCAAGCACACACAATAAAATAAGATAACTCTTTATAACTAGTTTTCAAAGGCATTATTTGAGGGCTAGGTATAGAAATACACGGCTGTAATTCTAGCACTTAGAAGGCTGAGGTACTAGATTTTTTTCCTGTCTTTAAAAAGTACAAAGGAACAACAAAGGCATTGAGCCTAAATATTCCATTTTAAATAGGAAATCTTGATTAAAAATAGTTCAGAGAGTGAAAAGAATCACATTCTCCAATTCTTTCTTTTTAAAAATAACTTACTTTTATTTTATGTGCATTGGTGGTTTGCCTGCATATATGTCTATGTGAAGGTGTCAGATATTGGAGTTAATTTTGAGCTGGGAATCAAACCCAGATTCTCTGGAAGAGCACCCAGCACTCTTAACCGTTGAGCCATCTCTTCAGCTCTCCACCCATTTGTTGTTGTTTTGTTTGTTTGTTTGTTTGTTTGTTTGTTTTTAAACAGGAAAAAGAAGCAGAACAAAAAGGATTAGGTTTAATTTATTTCATATAGTTGAGACAGGCTCTTTCTGTGTAGCTATGACTGTTCTAGAACTGGCTATGTAGACCAGGCTAACCTTGAACTCAGAGAGATCTGCCTGCCTCTTCCTCCTGAATCTTAGGATTAAAGTAATGTGCCACCACTGCCTGGCAAAGAGCTATTTGTTTGTGTGTGTATGTGTGTGCATGTATGTGTATGCATGCATATGAGTGTTGTTTTTTTTCATGCACACTAGAAGAGTCAGATTCTGTTGCATGCCTCATGGTTGTGAACTACCATGTGGTTGCTGGGAATTGAACTCAGGACCTCTGAAAGAGCAACCAGTGCTCTTTAACAGCTAAGCCATCTTTCTAGCCCCTGGTTTAAAATTTTAAAACTTAGATAAGCTATTAAAAAATGTAATCTTAGCCGGGCGGTGGTGGCGCACGCCTTTAATCCCAGCACTTGGGAGGCAGAGGCAGGTGGATTTCTGAGTTCGAGGCCAGCCTGGTCTACTGAGTGAGTTCCAGGACAGCCAGGGCTACACAAAGAAACCCTGTCTCGAAAAACCAAAGATAAAAATAAAAAAAAGTAATCTTAACCATTATTTTTTTTAAATCTATTCCTGAAAGTAATTTAATTGTGATTCTTTTATTTTTGAGAGGTTGCAGCTTTGAAGTTACTTTGTAATCCATTGTGACCTTCAACCTTTGATTTTACTGAGATTCCAGGCATGTAGCACTACGCCTGGCCTATTAATTCTGATTTAGCATTGGTGTGTTGTGTATGCTTCTATGAATGACATAAACGTGATAAAACAATGAAGTTTGTTTGTTTGTTTGTTTATTGTTCAATAGGCCTATGTAGCCAGCCCAGGTTGGCTTTGAACTTATATAGTCAAAGATGACTTTACATTTCTGTTGTGATTACAGGCGTGTGCCACCACTGCATGTCTATTAGGTGCTGTGGATCAAATCCAGGATTTCATGCTAGCTCTAAGTTTCTGATTTTTGGTTTTAAGTTTTAAAATTTTAATTTGTGTTTTGTGTTGGATCTCCTATAGTTGTAAGCTGAGCCCCGTGGGTGCTAGGACCCGAATAGGCAGCAGTTGCTTTCAACTGATGAGCTATCTATCTCTCTAGTGCCTGATTTTGTATTTTTAATTGTTTTGCTTTTAACTTAGTAATTCCAAGAGAGAAGTAATTATCCTAAGTAATGAAATGCATAGTTTGAAGAAAAAGATGATTTGACATGGGGTAAGAGACTTTTGTCTTCTAATCATTATTAATGTGAGGCATTGTTTTGGTTACATGCTGGCCAGACTTACCATATATAAATAAGTCAATTTAAATTGTTACTGTCAAAGAATTATTTAAAGTCTCCATTTTCAGTTGGCCATGGTGGTGAAAGCCTTTACATCCCAACACTCAGATTGGTCTGTGACCAGCCTAGTCTACATAGTGAGTTACAGGGTAGCCAGAACTATGTAGAGAGAAGGGCCCCTGTCTCAAAAAGCAAAACAACAGCAGCAAAACCTCCATAATGTATGTTGTACATGAATAATTTGTTGCTTCTTTTTTTTTTTAAGTTTGAGAACATTTTTCTAAAGAAAGGTAACGTTTTAATTAAAGCATTTTAAATCTTATGTTAAAAAGTATGATTAGCCCCTAGAACTAAACTGAATTAAATTTTTTTTTTTTAAGTTTTAGTCTGGTCTCTCTTAACCTAGTTCTCATCTTCTTATTAGTGTGATATGATTGAGTCATTATGTGTTCACAGCTTGACTTTCTGTTCTGTTTGAGAACAGAGCATGTGCTTTACCCACTGAGCTTTGCTTTTTTTTGTTTTGTTGTGTTTTTTGAAACAGGGTTTCTTTGTGTAGTGCTGGCTATCCTGGAAATTGGTTTTGTTTGTTTGTTTGTTTGTTTTGAGGAGAAAGGCACTATTAGGAATATAGAGGTTTTAAAATGCATTGAGAACTGGAGAGATGGCTCAGTAGCTAAGAGTACTGACTACTTTTTGAAAGGACACAGGTTCAATTCCCAGGATCCCTGTGGTGACTCATAACTGTCTGTAACTCCAGTTTCAGGGCATCTGACATCCTCTTCTGGTCACATAGTTCACAAACTTCCATGTAGGGAAAATATTCATACACATAAAATAGATAAAGAAAAATGCTTATGAGAAATGTCTTTAGAATTTTCAAAATTAGTGTTTTAATTTTTAATTCTGTTTTTCTCCTACAGCTCCTAAAAGGCGAAGGCCAGCACGTTCAATATTTGATGGTTTCCGAGACTTTCAAACTGAAACTAGTAGGTATTTGTAAACCAGTCTCTCAGCTCCCTCTTCCCCTTCCTTTGTGTTTAAAAGAAGAAAAAGATTAGTATTATTCCTAAATAGTTTGTGGTTCACCATGTTTAAAAAGTGAAATTAGAGACATCATGATTTGGGATAAAGATTACCGACTACCAAGCCTGAGTTTGGCCCGGGACTCACGTGGTGAAAAGAGAGAACTGACTCCTGCAAATTGTACTTGACTCCACATATATACCCTGACATCCATGCTTTTACACACACTGCCCTAGGTATGAATATTACTGCTATGATGAAACATTATGACCAGCAGCAAGTTGGGGAGGAAAGGGTTTATTTGTGTTATACTTCCATGTCATAGTTCATGATTGAAGGAAGTCAATAAAGGAATTCAAACAGGGCAGGAACCTGGAGGCAGGAGCTGGTGGAGAGACAGATCATAGTGGATAGGAGGGATGCTGCTTAACTGCTTTCTTAATAGAACTCAGGACCATCAGCACAGGATGACACCACCCACAATGGGCTGGGCCCTCCCCCATCAACCACTAATTAAGAAAATACCCTGCAGCTGTGATTCAGCCTATGCGTTACAACCTCCTTTCATGGAGTCTCATATCAGATGTTCTGCATATCAGATGTTTGCGTTATGCTTCATAACAGCAACATTAGATTTATAAAATAGCAATGAAAACAGTTTTTATGGTTTGGGGTCACTGCAATATGAGGATCTGTATTAAAGGGTCACAGCATTAGGAAGGTTGAGAGCCACTGGTCTACACTTTCTCGGTTGGAGGGTCCTCCTCTTTGATGACAAGTTGACATAAAACTAATTAGCACAACTCATACCTTTCTGTGGAATAAGTCAGAAGTATCTTGGCTCATACTTGTTAAAGAATTCTAAAAAAATGTCAATGTTTGTTTGTTTCTTTGTTCCGGATGGTGTACAGGCCATGGTGTGTACATGTCCTCTAACTGGAAGACAGCTTATTGGAGTTGGTCTTCTCCTACCATATAGGCCCTGGGGATCAAATTGGGGCCATCAGTTTTGGTAGCAAGTGCCCAGTCTTACTGAGTCATCATCTAGTGGCCCAGGACAGTTATTTTATATATGACTATGTCTGGTTTTATAACTTACAATGAACTGCTCAGAGCACAGATAGGTCTTTTTTTTTTTTGGTTTTTCAAGACAAGGTTTCTCTTGTGTAGCCTTGGCTGCACACAGAGTGGCTGGAACTCACTCTGTAGACCAGGCTAGCCTCGAACTCAGAAATCCACCTGCCTCTGCCTCCCAACTGCTGGGACTAAAGGGGTGTGCCACCACCGCCCGGCTAGATAGGTCCTTTAACTGTAGGAATGGTTGAAAGGAACAGCTTAAATTATCAAAGTGATCTGTGCTCTTCTAGTAGACGGTGCCAGCAGTGTCCATAACCTCTACTGAGATTCTTTAAAACTAGGAGCTAGACAGAGTGGATGAGTTAGGATCACTCTGAGAACTAGAGAAATGGTTCTGAAATCTTTTCTTGTCTTGCTTATGAATATGTGAAAACATTTGAGTTGATAAGGTTATTATGTGTGTATCTGCTGTTAGGAACCAAACCTAGGCAAGCACTCTACCACTCAGGTGACTCCTTGTCTCACGGGACTAAACACAGGGAGGATCCTGTATATACTAGATAGGTACTAGTAAGCTAGATCCCCAGCTAGCTTTTCTTCTTTTTTAAAGATTTATTTATTTTTATTTGTATGGGTACACTGTAACTGTCTTTAGACACATCAGAAGAGAGCATCGGATCCCATTACAGATGGTTGTGAGCCACCATGTGGTTGCTGGGAATTGAACTAACGATCACTGAAAGAGCAAGTTAGTGCTCTTAACCACTGAACCATCTCTCTAGCCCCTAGCTTTTCTTCTTACTGTGAGATAGTCTCTCAGTAAGTTGGCAGAGGTTGGTCTTGAACCTTTGATTTTTTTGTGTTAGCCTCTTAGGTAGCATTGATTATAAGTCTGCACCATTAGGCCTGGCCTAACATGACTATATAATTACCTATATAATTTACCTAATTTAATTACCTATTTTTATGCTTTGGTCTAGAGAACAACCTTTAAATCTTAAGGGTTTTTTGTTGTTGTTGTTGTTGTTTTGTTTTTAACTCATCTTTGTTTTTTTTTTTTCAGTCATCATTACCTTTTTGTATTTGAGGCCAAGCATGCTGTTCAGTATTGTTCAGTCAGTACAAGGTCTTTTGTTTATTATGTAATTTAACACTTTCATTTTATGGCTAATTAAAACTTTTCTGTCTTTCTGTGATACAGTTAGGCAGGAACAGGAATTAAGAAATGGAGGAGCAATAGATAAGAAACTAACCACCCTTGCAGATCTATTCCGGCCCCCAATCGACTTGATGCACAAGGGCAGCTTTGAAACAGTAAGTTGTTGGAGAGTCTGTGCTATAACTATGAATCGTTTCTACCATTTCATTGTCTTATTTGTTTATATGTTTTATTTCTTTGTTTTATTTTTGAGACAGTGTCTTATCATGGGGCCTGGACTTACTGTGTAGATGAGGATGGTCAAAAAATCAGAGATTGACCTGTCTCTGTGTCCTCTGTGTGCCATGTGCCTTTTATTTTCTAAGAGAAAAAAATCATTTATATAAAGAATTGGTATCTTAACTATTTCTGCATAATATACTTAAGGGTTACGCTGACTTCTGTTTCTACTGGCAATGAGTGTATATTTTTAACAATAGTATATGAGATTCGGTTTTTCGAGACAGGGTTTCTCTGTGTAGCCCTGGCTGTCCTGGAACTCACTCTGTAGACCAGGCTGGCCTCGAACTCAGAGATCCACCTGCCTCTGCCTCCCAAGTGCTAGGATTAAAGGCGTGCACCACCACTGCCCTGCAACATAAATCTTTAAAAAAAACCAAACTTGATAAAAATTAAAACTCCCATCTTCAAGATACTTGACATTTCTAGAGGTTTGTTGACGGCTAAGACTATTGTGGAATGTGGGCAGCACAATTTAATACATGGGGCACCAGCAGCTAGCTAGAAGCCATGATTCTCTTCTCTGCTTTATGTACTAATTGGAGTTTCTAAAGGGGCAGAATCGTTAAGACTATTGTGCATGTTATGGGGTGGGGTGGGCAATGACTTACTAGGTTAGCTTAATGGTAAAAGTTGGTAGTTCAACAATAACTATCTGTATACTTTAGAATACACAGCAGCAGCTCAATCCAAGAAACTATGTCTCAGTCATTCCAGTCTGGTGCTGAAGGCCTGGAAACTCCCTAGGGAGCTGGAGTCTAATGATCCAATGACCACATATGTACATGGAGAAAGAAGTGGGCTTACAGACATGTACACACTTCTTTCCTCTGATTCCCATCCATCTAGTGGCTGGTGCCAGCCAACTTCAGAGTGGGCCTTTTTTCCCAGTCACATGCCACAGGTCTGTGCTTTCTGAAGTACACCAGAGATATAGGAACCTTTCACCAGTCCTGTATTTCTCCTAATCCAGTCAAGTTGACAGCTATCACAAGAATTATATGCAAAATAATACTGTATAATACTAAAAATTCTAGATAACATTTTAAAATATTTATTATTATTATTTATGTGTGCATATACATGCTATGGAAATTACCCCTGGGGGCCAGTAGAGGGCATCAGATTCCCTGGAGCTGTGAGCCAGTGGACATAGGTGCTAGGAACCAAAGTACATTTCTCTACAAGAGCATCAACTACTTTTTAACTTCCAGACTACAGCCCAGCCTCTAAATATTTTTAAAACTATACTTACTAATCATTGATAATTTCTTTTGGAGGAGACAGCAGGATGTGAGACAGGGTCTCTCTATGTAGTACTGGCTATCCTGGAACTCAGTATATATTTCAGGCTGGCCTTGAACTCAAGAGTTCTGTCTCTGCATATCTAGTGCTGGGGTTTAAGATGTGCACCACCTACACCCTGTTACAATGTATTTTAATCATATTTATCCCCTATTTACCTAACTCCCAGATTCATACCCCCAACCTGGACACTCCTCTCAACTTTTGTAGCCCCTGTCTCTGCCTAGTCTAAAACCATCAAGTCCAATTTCTGTTCCTCTTACTTACCCCTATGGTCCAGGAGACATCCACTGGAGCATGGTCACTCTACCAGGGATGATACTCGTAAAGAAAATTGATTCTCCCTGCCCCAGGAGCCGTCATCTGTCAGTAGCTCCTCAGTTGGGGGTTCATGTCTTCTCCTTCATACCCCATGCTAGGATGTTGAGTCCTGTCATGTTCCAGAAGATGACTGTTGCAGTCTGGTCCTCTCCAATTTCTGGCTCTTAAAATTTTGACCCTCTCTTTCATGATGGTCCTTGAGCCTAGGGCTAGGAAGAATAGTAACATAGGTATCCCATTAGCACTCCACTGATACTTTTCTCTGCACTTGGATCAATTGTAAGTATATGTATTAGCCACTGTCCTCTGCACAAAGAAGTGATGAGTCCTCAATGTCATGTTTAAAAAGAATGCTGAGTGTCTATATGGAAATTTTACTCTTATAGGCCAAAGAGTGTGGCCAGATGCAGAATAAGTGGCTGATGATAAACATCCAGAATGTACAAGATTTTGCATGCCAGTGCCTCAACCGTGATGTGTGGAGTAATGAAGCTGTGAAAAATATTATCCGGGAACATTTCATTTTCTGGCAGGTGAGAATGACAGTTAATTAAAAATTTCTTAGAATTTGTTTTTATAGTATAGGATGTTGTGGAGGCAGAGTGGGACTATAAACTGGAGAAAGTGAGTTCAGTCATACTTCAGGAGCGTCTTGACCAGGCTATCCACAGCTCCACAGCTCAGTGGAAACATGGTATAAACTACATACTTCTCTAGAAGTACCATCTGAAAAAATCCAAGGGAAATGGGAAATTAACTTTAATCATGTTATAAGTCAATAGATGATGAAACATTAACATTTTAATGGCATTGTCTGTTTGTTTGAGTGTGTTAAATTCTCAAGATAAGGTATGTTTTTCATGCTTACAGCACGTCACCTTAAATTAGTCTATTTCGTCTATTTAATAACGATACAGGGCCAATGGCCGTGTGTAAAAGATCTTAGAGCATTCGAGAAGCATTAAGACATATGTTCTACCTTGTGTTTGTTACTCTTACTGTTTGTTCTTAGCTTAATATTCCTTAATATTCCAGATGTAATAGCTTTTTGTATAAATTATCTAGTTAAAACAGGTAGCCTACCTGTTTGGGTTTTATTGGCTGTGATGAGACACCATAACCAAGGCAACTCTTATAAAGGCAAACATCTAATTGGAGCTGGCTTACAGTTTGAGGATGAGTCCATTATCATCATGGTGGGAAGCATGGCAGTGTGCAGGCAGCCATGGTGCCAGAGAAGAGCTGAGAGCTCTACATCTTCATCCCCAGGCAGCCAGAAGGAAGCGTCCCCACCCGCTGCACTGGGTGGAGCTTGAGGACTAGGAGACCTCAAAACCTGCCTACACAGTGAACACCTCCTAACAATACCACTTCCCATGGGCCAAGCATATTCAAACCACCACACTGCCTCTAATTTCCCTTTTGTTTCATTATCTTCAGTTGGTTGGGTTTTGGAGAGGCTTGCTCCTTTGGATTCAGCCTGGGGCCACCAGCATCCTCCTCAGTTCATTTATTAATTTATTTTTTAGGTTTTTGAGACAGGGTTCCTCTGTATCCTTGGCTGTCCTGGAACTCACTATGTTGACCAGGCTGGCCTTGAACTCAGAAGGAAATCCGCCTGCCTCTGCCTCCCAAGTGCTGGGATTAAAGGCGTGCGCCACCACTGCCCGGCTCCAGGATTGTTTTTAATGGCAGAGTTCCTTTATTTTAGTCAAATATTGACTGAACATCTCTGCCTAATAAAATGTTGGATTTTCAAGCTTATAATCTTAATATATGTGACTTACTAGAATACAAATACAGTGAGAGGCATTGTGACACAGTTGGGAGGCAGAGGCAGGCAGATTTCTGTGAGTTCAAGGATAGCCTGGATACATAGTGAGCTCCAGGACAGCTATAGCTATATAGGGAGACCCTGTCTCAGACAAAAACAAAAAACAAAACAGAAAACCAAGAAAACAAAAAATTCACAGATGTACTAACACTTGAAAAAGAAGTTATTACTATTGCCTCTTCTGAACTGAAAAAGGAGCAGGAATGGGTTTGTGTTTTATAATGTTTTCAAAGGGGGCCAAGAGTAGGATGTTAAATCTGCACTTCATTACGTCTGCTTTGATATGAGGGTTAGAACGTAACGTGCTTGTCAAAGCTTATTTGGAGAATCTATTGCCCTAAATAGATAACAAGATTGTGATCAACCTTTTTTTTAAAGAGGTTTTTAAAATTTTTATTGGCTTAACAGGTTTATCACGACAGCGAGGAAGGTCAGAGATACATACAGTTTTATAAGTTAGGGGATTTCCCCTATGTTTCCATCTTAGATCCACGGACAGGTAAGCTATATTACATTACAGCCTTTATTTTTCACAGCTGATTAGTTTTTGACTGGGTGTGGTTTCAGCAATGCGGTAGTTAAGGGAACTTTTCTTGTTTGTGTAAACAAACAACTTTGGATGTGTTTATTTAGGGAATCTCTTTCTGGAAACTTGAGGGGTAACATTTTGTATTTGTACAGTTTGTTCTTTCAAGGAAAAACTGATACAATCAATCATCTTTATAGGGTCTCAGGTTTTCTATTATTAAATTGATGAGATTGTTTTAGGTACTTGTTGTATTCCTCTAGAGAACTAGAGGGTGAGCTGTTTTTATTATTAATTATATTTTATTAGATTTTGCTTTGTTTGAATTTCTTCTTCCTAAATGGCTATAATGCAAACAGATAGTTTTCCTTTCATGATGGGTGAGAATCTTATCTGACTTTTAATTGATGTTGTCAATAGGTTATGAAGATACTGTGTGACTTCAGTAAGTAAGAAATGAGGATATGAATTTGTAGCAATTTATGTATATATCAATTATTTAATGACTGTGGTTAGAAAAATTATTGTATGTTTATGTCTTGATTTTTTTTTTTTTTAATTTATTTTTTAATCTTTAGGTCAGAAGCTAGTAGAGTGGCACCAATTGGATGTATCTTCTTTCTTGGACCAAGTAACAGGGTTTCTGGGTGAACACGGGCAACTGGATGGACTTTCTAGCAGCCCCCCCAAAAAGTGTGCTCGATCAGTAAGTATAAGTGATAGACAACTAAGTATACCTGTATGTTGACATTTTTTGTAAAATGTTTGATGTTAAAATGGTATTTATGACAAGGAGCAGCCTGGCCTCTGGGAGCACACATCTTTAATCCCAGCACTCAGGAGGCAGAGGCAAGCACAGGTGGATCCCTGTGAGGCCAGCCTGGTCTAACAAAGCATGCTCCAGGACAGAGAAAGCCTATATTGAAAAAAAAATAATAATATAAGTAATGAACAGTTATGTTTTCTGGATATACTACATCTTAGCTATCTTATTTTTTGATAGTTTTCTAAAGAAGAATTTTATCTTCTTAGTGAAGACATATATGTATGTGTGTATACATGTGTATGTATACAGTTTTATGTTTTCGTTCATTTGTAACCTAAGCTTACTTACAGAAGCACAGGTGAAAAATTATTTATAGGGGCATTGGCACCTTTTCCAGTGGTTACACCGCTAAAGAAAATGTCTTTCCTGTTACTAGCAACCATTAATTGCTTATTTTCAGGGAGGGTTTGAGCCCTTGTGAGTCCCTTCTATGGCAGAAGGTTGATGGGTCCAGTCTTGTGTAGGACTTTTAGGCAGGTGAACGTAGCCACTGTATATCTAAGAACTCTCTATTTTGTCATGCCCAGGAGACACTGTTCCACATTCCTCCATCGCATCCCTCCATCGCATCCCTCACATCTTACATTCTTTCTGCCCTCTCTTTCATAATATTCCCTGAACCCTGGAAAGGATGCTATGGATGCTGTAGTTGCATTTATCACTGAATATTCAACATGTGTTTTCTGCATTTTAACACTTAATGAGTCTTTGCAGTTAACCATTGTCCACTGTAGAAGGAAGCTTCTGTAAGTAACTGCAGCTTACAGACAGCAGCACTAATCTGACTGCTGGAGGCTCTCAGTTTCCTACCCCAGCTCCTGGAGACTTGTCTCACTACTAGAAGTTTCTAGGTCTGGTTATATATTTACTTTTTTTTTTTTTTTTGGTTTTTTCGAGACAGGGTTTCCTCTGTGTAGCCCTGACTGTCCTAGAACTCACTCTGTAGACCAGGCTGGCCTCGAACTCAGAAATCCACCTGCCTCTGCCTCCCAAGTGCTGGGATTAAAGGCGTGTGCCACCACAGCCTGGCATATATTTACTTTTTTAAACTCATGTCTGTGCAGTGTGTTTGTATGTTTCTCGTGTGTCTGTGTGTGTGAGAGAGCTCAAGGTTGACATCAGAACATCATTTGCCTTCCTTGCCCTCCTTATTCATTGAGGCAGGGTCTCAGTTGAACCCAAGGCTCATCAATATGGCTAGTCTGGTTAGACATTGTGTTGTGGGGATCCCCTGTTTCTGCTTACCGAATGCTGGAATTAGAGGCTGCTACATCCACTGAGAATTTATAAGGGTTCTGGGAATCTGAACAGTGGTCCTCAAATTTTGGAAGGAAGTGTTTTAACTACTGATTATCTCTCTAGTCCATGTTTCTTTTAGATATACTTTATCAGGCTTTTTGAAGACAGGGAGCCAAGGTGGGCTCAGAGTCACTATGTAGCCAATGATACCCTTGAATTTCTGATACTGCTGCCCCTGTCTCCTACCACCATTCCTGTATTCCTTTTCTTCTTAGTTTGCAGGGTGTCACATGCCTGTGATCCCAGCACTCAAGTGACTGAGTCAGGAGAATTACTGCAAGTTTGAAGACAAAGCTATATAATGAATTCTGTGCTTGTTCAGGCTATGGAGTGAAACCTGTCTCAAAACAAGTTATAAACAAAATAAGTAAATAAAAACTATAGGACAAGTAGTACATGGACTTTTTAAATTAGACACTTTTATTTAAATAATTTTTTTAGTTTTATTTTATGTGTGTGTTTTGCCTGTATGTGTACTACACGTGTGCACTACCCTCAGCTACCACAAGTGTTGGATCCTCTGCAACTGGAGTTGTGGATGGTCATGAGCCACTGTATGAATTCTTAGGATCTCCCTCTTTTGCCCGGGGATCCTAAAGTCCTGCCTCCGTCTCCTTTCCCATCCATTGTTGGCCACTGACAACTTTATTTACCAGTCAAAACCAACTGGGGAAAGAGTCCCTCAGCATCTTATGGCAAGACATTCAGATTCCTGTGTAATTTGGGGGAACCAAATTAACATAAGTAACATTAGACCAAATCCACAACATTAACCTGGTGCTGTCTGCTGTATAATGTTACTGCAAATCTACTCATGCAAGCCATTGCATATCCCATAAATAAATCTACCTGCTTTATGTGTGTGGTAAACTAGACATGTTTATTTATTTATTTCTGTTTGTTTGTTTGAAGGCAGGTCTCTGTTACATAGCCTTGGCTGTCCTGTAACTCACATTGTAGACTAGGCTGGGCTTAAACTCACAGATATCCACCTACCTCTACCTCTTAAGTGCTGGAATTAAAAGTGTGTTCCACCACACCCAGATACTTTTTTGAAAAATTATTATGGGGCAATAGGAAGCAGATTGACCTTTCTCCCCCCAGAATAAGTGTAGCCAATTTGTTTCATGTCTGCCAGCTCTTTTATATTGTAGCTGTAACATGCCTGCCAGTCATTGACACAGAGACATGACTTGACTCAAGGGCATGCTGACCACATATCCTGTTTTGTTCTGTATGTTCTGATTGTTCTGTATGAGGTTTGCTAATCTTAAGAAATTCCACAGAGCTTTACATATTGTCCATCAAATCAAAGGTCAATATGAACTGTTAGTCAGAGCTGACCATATTTTGAGTCAGAGCTGACCACCAGGCAGCCCTTCCTGTACCTACAGATGAGCTTACTATGTTTTTTGTGGCTGACTCTGAAGAATGTTACTAATAAGCCAAAAGTTATGATTATAACACTCATTCTCTGTTGTCTCACCATTCTGAGATTCCCCTGTTCACCATGCTCCTCACCTTCCTCAGGACCAATCAGCTTAGAGGTTAGCTGGTAGTACTGTGCCTAATAAGCCAATTCCTCCCTCCTTGCCCTTGAAACTTTTGAACCTGGTTTTCCCTACAAAAAGCCTACCCTTAGAGCAGACTAGTGCCACAATTAGGTTTTTCTTCTTGTTGAACTAGATGTCCAGTATGATGATGTACGTTCAATAGACTGTTCTTGCTTAGCTGAGAATGATACATGTTAGGACTATGTGGCAATTTCCTGAATACCAACATTAAGTTCAATTAATGAAGTAAGTTCAGTTCACATGGTCCATATTTTGTGATTTTAAAAAATGAAATTTTTTTCAAAAATTTAACAAGAAAATACTAGAAATTTGCAATTCTCTGCCTGTTAAGATGGCCCAGTGGTTAAAGGAACTTCCTACCAAGCCTGATGACCTGAGTCTAATCTCTACAACTCATATGGTAAGGAGAGAATGGACTCCTATAATTATTAAGCTTTTGAGAATTTAGTTTGTCTACCCTCAAACATCCAAATATATTTCCTTTGGGGTTTGTTTGTTTGTTTGTTTTTTCCCTTGAGACAAGTGCATGCTAGGAGTCAAACTTACAAGCTTCCTCCCTCAGCCTCAGTGTTAAATCCTGGGATATAGCATGCACCATCATGTCATATTTTGGAAATGTTACTTTCTTGTTTTGAATGCTAAGAATCATTGCATTTAATGAAAAGCAAGGGAGACATTTTTCTGGTATTTAATAATTTTAAACAGTTGTAGTTTGGACAAGGCAGTGGTGGCACATGCCTTTAATCCCAGCACTTGGGAGGCAGAGGCAGGCGGATTTCTGAGTTCAAGGCCAGCCTGGTCTACAGAGTGAGTTCCAGGACAGCCAGGGCTACACAGAGAAACCCTGTCTCGAAAAACCAAAAAAATAAAAAAAGAATTGTAGTTTGGCTTTAACCTTTTTTTAAGCAAAAAATTATAAGTTATTTTCCTGGCTTTGTTCATTTTGATGCCAAAAATTGCCTGAACTTAAAATACCAGTGTACTACATTCTGTGAGAGCTTTGTGTTGTTTGTTTGTGTTTTAGACAGGGTCTCACTGTGTAATACAGGCTAGCCTAGGACTTCAAGCAGTCCTGTATCCTTCTGCTTTATTAATGCTGGCGTTATGTGCCACCATATCCAGCTGAATGATAATCTTTCAGTTTTTATTTACTTTTTTTTTTAACTTTTTTTTTTTTTAAAGATTTATTTATTTATTATATATGAGTACACTGTAGCTGTTTTCAGACACACCAGAAGAGGGCATCAGATCCCATTACAGATGGTTGTGAGCCACCATGTGGTTGCTGGGATTTGAACTCAGGACCTCTGGAAGAGCAGTCAGTGCTCTTAACTGCTGAGCCATCTCTCCAGCCCCTTTTATTTACTTTTTAAATTTTTATTTTTTTAAAAATTTTTTATTTATTTCTTTTTTTATTATTTATTCTTTTATTTTTGCTTTTAAAATATTCATTCCAATTTGTCTTTCTGACAAATTGGAATTATACCTCACACGGTATAAGAGACAGATTCTACTTTGGCAGAAAATCATAATGGCAAGTTGACTAGTTTGCTTTTTATACCCCAGTTGAGTGTTTTTTTCGTTTAACTATTCTTTCAACTTTTGTTTTGGCTGCACCTTACAGGAGAGCCTCATAGACGCCAGTGAAGACAGCCAACTGGAAGCTGCCATCAGAGCCTCCTTGCAGGAGACACATTTCGACTCAGCACAGCCCAAACAGGATAGCCGCTCAGATGAAGAATCTGAATCGGAACTTTTTTCTGGCAGTGAGGAATTCATATCGGTTTGTGGCTCTGATGAAGAAGAGGAGGTAGAGAATCTTGCTAAGTCCAGAAAGTCTCCTCATAAAGATTTGGGGCATAGAAAAGAGGAGAACAGAAGGCCACTGACAGAGCCCCCAGCCAGAACTGAGCCTGGCACAGCCACAAACCATCAAGGATTGCCAGCCATGGATTCTGAGGTCTTGGAGATGTCACCTGAAAAGTCAGATGGAATAGTGGAGGGGATAGATGTAAATGGTGGGTTATGGTATAGACCTGCTTTACCTACTAAACTTGAATGTACTGAATGACTGGCTTTAGTTAATCTCCCATATTAAACACCTATGTATGTATATAACTCTTCCTTAGGACCAAAAGCACAGCTGATGCTGCGGTACCCAGATGGAAAAAGGGAGCAGATCACTCTTCCAGAGCAAGCCAAATTACTGGTGAGTTTATCCCACTGAAACATTTGTTTAAAGCAAAGAAACTGATTTTTTTGTGCTGCTATTGATCAAACCCATAAACTATGCATGCTAGGCAGACCCCTACTATACCTTATCCTTACCCCAGAGAAAGGAGGAACCTGAAGTAAGTCAGATCCTTGATTCCTGACATAGAGAGGATTTTATCTAATACCTAACTGGAAACTTATCTGCCAAGAGTCTTAGTTTTTTTGAGTTTTATTGTTCTGGTTTGTTACTTGTCTTTTGTTTTGGTTTTGAAGCAGGGTCTTACTGGGTAGCCCTGGCTAGCCTATAATTCACAGTGATTTGCCTGCCTCAGCTTGCTGAATTCTGTGATCAAGGGTGTGGAGGTTTTGAGGTGAGGTCTAACTTCATAGCCTGGATAGCCTGACACTAAAGCAATCTTTCTGCTTAGCCTCCCAAGTGCTGCAAGTATAATCATGAGCTACCATGCCTGTCTCATTTTTAATTATTTACTTCTCATTATTTTAGCCAAGCCACAAGCCAGCCAAGGCTTTTCAGTTTTGTGTTTGTGTAGGGGTCCAGGGTTGTTTTTCAAACTTTTTTTTTCCGTGTGTGTGTGTGTGTGTGTGTGTGTGTGTGTGTGTGTGTGTGTGTGTTGTTTTTGAGACAGGGTTTCTTTGTGTAGCCTTGGCTGCCCTGGAGTTTCTTTGTGTAGCCTTGGCTGCCCTGGAACTCAGTTTGTAGAACAGGCTGTCCCCGAACTCAAGAGATTGCCTGCCTCTGTCTCCTGTGTGCCGGAACTAAAGCCATGCACCACCCAGTGATCTAGGATTTCTTAGTTGCCAAAACTAAATTTAAGAGCCAAGGTTGTTGTTTTATGTCTCTTTTGTAGTCTGTTAGGATTTTTTCTTTTGACTTTATATACATTTCCCTCTTTGTTTGCCTGTGAGTTTTATTTATTCCTTGATTTGTAAATGACATCACCTATCATGGTGGTTCTAAGGGCCTATTTATTTAAAACTTCCTGAGCAGTGATTCTTTTTGATTGCTAGAAAAGAGAATTGGTCTGACTAGCATAGCTTAATTTATGGATGATACTCACTCCTAGCCTCACTTTGGTTAGTACCTATATCTGGTCTGTTACTATACCTGGGATTAATCACTCTCCTTGTTTCTATAACAAAATACCTGATAGAAACAACTTAAGGGAAGAAAGGTTTCTTTTGGTTTCAAAGAGATTGCAGCCCTCCAGAGCAAGATAGAAATGGCAGTGTGAGAGTGTGACAGAAGCTCTCTGTCTTGTCATGGGAACTAAAACTTTGTGTGGCTGTGAGCCAGGAACAGAGAACTAGAGCAGAGCTAGGTGGGTGGATAAGACCTTCAGAGACCTGCCTGTGGTGACCTACTTCTGCCAGCTGGCCCCTACCCCCTAAAAGCTCAGAACATGAGCCTTAGCGGGAGAGGCCATTTAAATGGAAACCATACAGTTGAAGATACTTAGGCTGATTGTTGAAGGCTGACAAGTAGTAGTTTCTGGCTAGTGACAGACATCAAACTACCACTGTTTGAAACGGGACAAAGGCAAGAGAAAGAACACATATGATAGGTGCCTGTCTTAGAGTTTTACTGCTGTGATCAGACACCATGACCAAGACAACTCTAATAAGGACAACATTTAATTGGGGCTGGCTTACAAGTTCAGAGATTGAGTCCATTATCAAGGCAGCACCCAGGTAGGCATGGTGCAGGAGGAGCTGAAAGTTCTACATTGTCATCTGTAGGCCACTAGGAAAGACTGGCTTCCAAGCAGCTAGGACAAGGGGCTTAAAGCCCACAACCACAGTAATATACTTCTCCAACAAGGACACACCCTCCAAATTTTGCTGCTCCCTGGGCCAAGCATATTCAAACCACCACAGTGCCTTTCTCCACCTTCTAGTTCTGCTAGCAAACTTTGGTATAGAAATGTTACATGGAATATTCCAGAGTCAGTTCATAAGATCTGTCTTCCTTCCTTCCTTCCTTCCTTCCTTCCTTCCTTCCTTCCTTCCTTCCTTCCTTCCTTCCTCCCTCCCTCCCTCCCTCCCTCCCTCCCTCCCTCCCTCCCTCCCTTCCTTCCTTCCTTCCTTCCTTCCTTCCTTCCTTT